TAAGGGGAGTGTCTAGGGGTACGCACAGGCTCATGATTGGTGTGCCTCCAGGCTTGGAAGGCTTGCCCTGTGTTGATTGGTCAACTGGTGTTATGGCCCATAGACCCTCCCAGGGTGGTTTACGGGCAGACCCGTAAAGCACACCCAGGGTCGTAAAGCATAGCGTTACCAGCTAACTTCCGATTGGTTCCTTGTCACGAGACAGGCATCTGACCTCTAAGTGACCAAGGCAGGTTTATGGCAAGCACGTGTTCGGCTGTTATGGCTGCCGAAAGGGAAGCTGGTCCCTTCAAAAGCAATAGACATTTAACATTGAATCTTAGATGAACTTTAAAACCCAGGGATAGGATAAACTTTTCTAGAGAGTGTGTGGAAAGACAAAGAATGAACGCCCAGGTAGAAACTCTTAGGTCTTCACAAAGCCATAATGAACACTCTGAAAGGAGCACATGACAGAGTCGCCATCAGGTGGGAGACTAGCTAGCTGTCCTGTCCCTAGAGAGAGCAATTGACTGTGACACATGCTCCTGAGGGTTGAATGAAATCCATGAATAAGTAACCATGGATTTGGCAGCACATAGACCACCCTGGACCTGATAGTGGAGATAAAGTTAAATTCCTGTCAGTTTGGGCTAGAGAGTGCATGAGTTGCTTCTCTAATTGGTGGAACAAAATACTCAGATGAAATGAATTTAGGAAGGAATGGTTTATTTGACTTCACATTTTTAGGATATAGCCCATCATGGCAGGATCTGAGGCAACTGGTCACACAGCATCCAGAGCCAGGAAGCAGAGGGAGATGAATTCTGTTTATCTCACTTCCTGCTTTTTGTTGAATCTGGGACCCCAGCTCATGGAATGATGCTGCCTACACTTAGAGCGACTCATCCCACCTCTCTTAACCCAGTCTAGAAAATCCCTCACAGATATGCCCAGAAGTTTGTTTCAGTAGGGACTCTAAATCCTGAAGCTGAGCATCAAGTTTAATCATTACAGGCAGCCACTGGGAAGTTGGGAACTGGTGCCATAGCCCATAGGTACTCTTGTGAAAGTTAGGCATCAGGTGGAGAGAATGGGACCAAGGACACGACAGGTGATTACGACAGGTGATTACTTAGATGTAACAGCAGAGAAAGAGTTGTGGAATGGCCTTGGAGAAAGGTTTGGGGACAGGGAGTGCTTTAAACTATTCACTCCTGTACTAGTTTTTTCTCCTTGCTATGACAACGTAAATGCCCAACAGGTGCAATTTGGGGGAAAGAGGATTGATTTTGACTCCTGGCTTAAGAAGATACAATCCAAAGTATGGATGCAGATGGCACCTTCTTGGTCTGGGCAGACAAGAGTTGGAGCTAGAGGCAGTTTCTCAGATCAGAAAGCCCCTGGAGGGAATGCTCACACTGAGATCAGAAAGCAGGAGGGGATGCTCACACTGAGATCAGGAAGCAGGAGGGGATGCTCACACTGAGATCAGGAAGCAGGAGGGGATGCTCACACTGAGATCAGGAAGCAGGAGGGGATGCTCACACTGAGATCAGGAAGCAGGAGGGGATGCTCACACTCAGCTTGCTTTCTCCTTTCCCCTCTTCCATCCAAGCCCCCAGCCCATGGCATGGCACTAGCCACATTCAGAGTGGGTTCTTTCCCCACAGTTAATTCTCTCTGCAACTCCCTCACAGACACACCCAGAAACTTTCCTTAGTCTCCTAGGTGAGTCTAAATCAGGTTGATCAAGGTGACAAAGAAGACTGACCATCGCACCCTTGAGCTGTACAGTGCAGCTCCCTGCTTGGGATCCCCTCACTTTTCCCGTCAACTCCCTCTGCTCCCCTGTCACTGTGATGTCAGCTCATGCCTCATGGAGTTCCTGGGTCTCTCTTTTGGTACAGAGTAAATGATGAAGCAGGAGCTGATTTTTCTCCCTGAGTGGGGGAAATGGTACAATTTGATATGGCCTTTGACTGATGGGTCAGCACAGCTAGCAGACACCCCAAGCCCACTCCAAGTCAAATGAAGTGCTTAGCCTTGGAGAAAAAAATGTAAACAAAGCTCTCTCCATTTAGAAGAGTTCTCATGGGGTTGGAAATGGGCAGCAAACAGCATCGGTAGGGATGGACAGCCTAAAGTTGGCTTGGTGTTCTGAGGTGCATCATTTGAACCGTCTTCAGGAAGTATGTGTGTGAGGTCGCTAAGGAAGAGATTCTTGGAAGAAAAGGGGAAGGGAGGTTTTGAGGGAGAGAGCGAGGAGCAACTGGGAGGTGGGAAACTGACCCAGAACCCCTCAGGACTCAGGGTGCTGGAGTTAGGAATCCATGGTAGCTTCCAGTGAGTGAATTGCTGCCAAACTCTCCCAGGGTGAGTTCTACTATAGGTAAGAAAGGATCTGAGCTGCTTGTAGTTCCTCACAAGTGCTGAGCCATGGATCCAGGGTCTGTGAGTTCCAAGGCCCCAGGCAGTCTGCTATGCCTGCTTTTAAGTAATAGGGACTTGGCTCAGGTTCCTGCTTACCCAAGCTAGCACTAGTATCCTAAAACAAGTCATTTGATCTGCTGTGCCTGCTGGGAAAAATAAAAACTGTGACTGTTGTCATTGGGATCAAATGAAGTTCCCTATTCAGCACACACTATCTGACTTGTTGGAAGCTGGATGTGAATTCTGGGGTCAAGTGCACTGGGTTTGAATTTTTTTCCATTGATCACTAGCTGTGTGATCGTGGACAGTGTACTCTGCCTCAGGGAGGGGGGCAGGTAATACCTGCGTGCTGAGGTATCTATCTGATAAGAGGTGAGTGAGAAACTAGTGATGCTCAGGTGATCTGAGGAGTTCCAGGTTGACTGGTGGCTGGCTGGGTGCTGGCTGTGGGTAGAAGGGAGAATGGATGCCAGTGGGCAGAGCTGCCTATGCTTCTGTGTGATGGTCTCATCTTCTCTCCAGTTCCGCCTGGTGGTGAAGACAGCCCTGAAGCTTCTGCTCGTCTTCGTGGAGTACTCTGAGTCCAATGCACCACTCCTCATTCAGGCTGTTTCTGCTGTCGACACCAAAAGAGGTGAGCAGTCCCTGTCCCGGGGGCCATCAAGGTCATAGTGTCATATAGGGAGGCATCCCATCTTCGAGTGAGTTATTGGGAGCATTTTGTGTGTAACCATCTCCGTGAAGGATCCAGAGTGGTAACTATGGAGATTAGGGCTGGAATGTGAGGTGACAATGAAGAAAATGCATGTGTGGACATAGCCAGGACCTGTCAGACCATTGTCTTTTGCCCCCATCACTGAAACTGCACAGAGGGCCTGTCCTCCTGATCCAGTTCAGGTCACCCTTGTATCCTGCCTTCTCTTCCCTGTCCTGTGTAACACTAACCCATAGATATTTCTTGAGACTTCTGCCCTCCTTTCCTCCATCCCATGCTGTGTCTAACTCAGGGGCCTTAGCATTTCTGACCTACCTCCCACCCCCAAAGTACAATCGGAAAATTCTTCATCATTCCTTCTAACCCTGTTAGCACCTACAGCATGAAAGCCAGTTGAGCCTTCCCGGGTAAGGGACCACCATCTCCCTTCTGGTCTATAAGACCCCTCCCTATCTCCTATGTTCCTGAAGCTCCCAAACAACCTTTCTCTCTGCCTATACTGTCGTCACTGCCTGTCTGTTGACCCGAGTATGTCCTGCTCATAAAGAGGGTCTCTTTCTCCCAGATTACTGTTCCAGCACTCACTCAGCCATCCTGAACAGATAGTCATGCTACATACAGGTAGAAAAGAGTGGAGTGGCGTGGACCACATGTAATCTCAGCACTGAGGAGGCTGAAGCAGGAGGATCACACATTGGAAGTTAGCCCAGTCTACCTAGAAAGACCCCTATTTGAAAAGAAAACAGAGAAGGAAGTAGCAGCTGTAGCTAGGTTGGTGTGAACCATGCTTTGGTCCACAACATTGTGAAGCCTTTAGATGAAATGCTAGGGTGCCTGTTTCATCTCTTGCTCATTTTCCTCCCTAAGAGGACCTAATTGTTCTTATCACTACCCCAAAGAAGGCTCAAATAAGTAAGAAGAAAATCTGAGTAATATTTTTTTTTCTCTTTTTGATTGCAATAGTAATACTTCACTTAAAAAATCTGGAAACCCCAGTCTACAGCTGATCCCAAATCACTTTTGATATCAACAGGCAGATGTGCTAACACGTTGATGTATTCCCGCCAATTTCAGTACCAACAGGCAGGTGTGCCAACACATTGATGATATATTCCCATCCAAGTCATGGACACTTATGAACAAAGCAACCATGGTGCTTTGTTGGGAGGAAGAGTGGCCTAGGTTGCACTATTTATTCAAACTGGTTATGTCTGACTCAGCCTTGCTCAGGACTCCCTTCTGATGCCCATTCAAAATGTGAAAGACAGTAGCTTCCTTGTTTCTTTGAAGGTCTGAGTTAACAAATGCTAGCCAGGACTATGAACTAAACATCTACACCTTTGCTCTGAACACACAGGCAGATGCTGGCCCTAGCATGGCTAGTCCAGGCCAGAAGTAACTCTTGGTCTCTCTGGGGACATACGTAAAGATGGCAGAGCCCCAGGCAGGGTCAGAGGCTGGAGTCCGGAAGGTCAGTCCCAGACCACAGCCACTTTCCATCTACAACATGTTTCTGTCTGGTACCAGACAGGAGATATCTTATAGTAAGAGCAGATTACAGGGCCAGCTAACAGTTCTGAATAAGGACAGCCAGCAGCTGAGAACCTATGTCTGGTTTCCCTAGAGCCAGGTTAGGTATTAGGGAAAACGATGATTCCCTTGATTTACCTTGCAGGATGTGTATTCCATCTGCCAGCTCTGGAGTTACTTTAGAACAATGGATGGACTTTTTAGTAGCATCTCTTAAATTGTGGGTATCTCAAGGACACTTGCCATTAGACCATGATATAGGACATCCTTTTCATAGCTTTGAGGTTCTCCTTTGGAGAAGGATCTGCTAGCATCTTTCTTCAGAGTTCCTCCTGTATAAAGGGCATGGTGTGGAGTGGGAATGACCCTCAGATGAACCTGGGGCTTTGTTTCCCACATGCAAGTTTCATTCCACAGTCCCAGCCTGAGGCCTCTACTATCCTAAGTCTCTCCAACAAGACAAAATGATGGCCATCTTTTCTCAATTAGTTAAAAGAAATTCCCATAGATTGTTTTCTCAGCTTGGTAGATTTCGCCTATAAAATTTTTTCAAACTTTGGCAACTGCTGTCATCTGCCTGCCACTAAACACGAAGAGCTGCAAACAAAGGAACATCACTAATAAAAAAAACACAGAGGACACTCATCATGTGTGACTCAATTGCATGCTTCTTCATGGATATGTGTGGTCTTGGCTGTGATTTTGTAATGCATACATATAGCGTCATCCTGGTTTACTGCTGGTAAAGTTGTCCCAGGATTCTATGATGGAATTAAACATACAAATGTGTCATGGAGTTCAGCAGAGAGCAACACAAATTCCAGGTGTATCCAGCAGCAGGTTTTAGAACTGTCTCCAGTTCCCTCTCAGCTAGCCTGAAGCACAGCCTACATGCCAGAGATGACTGAAGGAGAGCTGAGCATGTCTATGTGGGCACACGTACAAATTGCCCATAAATTCTCCTCCATAGAGAGGCTCCAGACTCATTCCTTGGCAGGAGTGACTGGCATAGGAAAGTGAGGACAGTTGTCTTTCTATTTATTAGACAGCAAAACTCAGAATTGAGGAATCAGCAAATAAAACTAACAAAATAAATTAAAAGCCCTCAAAAAGTCATGAACGGATTCTTTTAGTGGCTTTATAGACATCATGCATGACCACCTATGAATTAACTAGAAGTGTGACATGGGCCTAGTGTAGGCCACTTAGAGAGCCTAGAAAGGAAGCAAAGTCCATCAAAGGAGCCCAGTAGTGTAGCTCAGTGGCAGATGCCCGTCTAGTGTGCATGAGGCCCTGCATCAATCCTCATTACTGCAAAACAAACAGACAAACCAAAAAATACATCATGGGTACTAATTAATATTTATGAATATGGATATGTGAACATTTTAAATGCCTCATTTGGCCTAGTCTGCTATACTTTTGCTTTGGGGCTAGAATAGAGATGTGAGTTTGATTAGCCCTGAATGTGTCATGGGATCACAGTTGTCTCCTCAGATCCTCAGGATCACCTTCACTCTTCTGCTGTGTGTGTGTGTGTGTGTGTGTAGGTCAGAGGTTGACTTAGGGTGTCTTCTTTAGTCACTCTCTGGATTATTTTTACACAGGGTTTCTGGCTGAACCTGAAGTGAGATCACCGATTTGTCTAGACTGACGGGCCAGAGAGCCCCAGGGATCTGTTCATCTCTGCCTCGGTACATGGGGATAATAGTCACACACCACCACATCTAGATTTGTCATGTGGGTTCTGGGAACCAAACCTAGACCTGGTGCTTGTGCACCAAGCACTTCATATCATCTGAGCCATCCCCCAGCTCTCTCTTGCTTATATCTTTGTCACTTTTTCTTTGGGGGTTGATATAGCCTGACAGGAAGAGAGGAGAGTGATTCATGGAAGCTTTAAGGAGACCATTGATTTGTCACTTTACTTTGTCACTCTCTTTCCTCAAGATTTGCCCTATGGTGGGTTAATCTAGGCAGAGTTGACAAGTCCCTCTGACATGTAGTATGCCTCTCTCACAGAGAGCTTGGGGAACAGTCAAGGTTATTCATGTCATACATCTTGGGTCCTATTAATTTGGTCCAACATAGCTTTTGAAGTTAATTTTTTTTCATTTGAACGTAAAGCGATGAGATATGACTTAATCCCTGTACATTCATAACACACATGATTATCACGAGATAAAGTCTAGCCATCCCTTCAAGCAATCCTGTCTCTGAGTCTACTTGAGGGTGTCTTGTGTGGTGAAGAATGCCCAAAGCATGGTGGAGGCTAGAGGTTACACACTTGAGCTGGATTTAACTGTTCATTGTCAGAAGTTTCTATGGAGACTATATAGATCTGTTACCTGGAAAGATCAGAATGTGCTGGAAGAATTGTCCAGCATGGTTTAACCATTAGCCAAACTCATGTTCAAGGCATCATGTTAAATGGTTTAATGCAAGGATCTATCAGGAGAATAAAATGGAAAATGTTTCAAACATGTATTCTATGTGTATATCTTTCATCTAAGTTAAGGAAGAGGCACTGTGCCTTGGTGGCAAGGGAGTACTGGCCTGGTGTCTTGTAGAGATGAGTGTTGTAGGTACTGGTGTCATCACTAGTCATGGCCATAATGACATTGACTGTTATTTGGGTGTCTGTGGTGCAACAGACAAAGCCAGGCTGTGTCCACACAGAGTTCAGTCATTATGCAAATATCTGAGTCAACTGTGTGCTGGCAAACATCAGGAGTCATGGACCGGGCTCTTGTGGAACTTATATTGCCATGTTTAGGGTGTAGGAATGGTGGACAGTGGATTGTGAGGGAGACAGATGATAATGACAGCATTGTCTTCTAATATACCCCATCAATGCTAAGAAAGGAAATAGAAATGCTTTGTCTCTTCGACACCTTGCAGTAATACCTTAAGACAAACACTTTATCTCAGCTTATAGATATGTCCCCAACCTCTGTGTGTGTGTGTGTGTGTGTGTGTGTGTGTTGGGGGATCTGGCCCTTTCCCTCTCTTTGGGATACCTGCCTCTGTTGCTTGGCTTTTCCTTCCCCAGGCCCCACAGAGTACATTGGATTCAAAATCAACAATAAGGAAGTACTTCTGAGTCCAGAATCACCAGAAAAATTAGAAACTACTGACTGCAGTGTTTTCTTCCAGGCACAATGCTCCAGTGAATTCTCCAGTATCTTCTGGGAGTGCTCTAGTCGTTGAGATTGATGCCCCATTAGAAACACAAGCAAATACTTAATGAATTTATCAGGACAGTGAGACCCAGGGTCTACTGGCTACTTTGGTTGGCTGCCTTGAAGGCTGAAATGGTCACTTTGTTGGCACTTGAAGGACAACTATACCCTAGTGTTAACCACAAAGGAGTTGAATGATAAATGTCAGGAGATAATTTGGTGGGTAGTGGGAGGGATAGCATGGCTGTGCATTCAGAGTTAAAAAGGGAGGCAGGAAATTTCTTGGGTCTAATTGGCTAGAGAACTCAGCTAAAGGATGATACTTCAGGTTAGCTCACTGGGAAAGCTGTTATATCTGTGTGTGCCATGTATTATAGAAGGTGCCTACTCCTCAGTCCTTCTGTCTTCTTTCTTTTCTTACTATGTGTATCTCCCCTCTCATTCTTGTAAGACTGTTCCATCTTAACATACTGAATGTCCCCTCAGAAATTACTACTGTTCTCAGACATTTTATCAACTCTGTGCTATATGGAAGGCATTGTGCTGAAAGTGTAGAGATGAACAAGAGTGATAACCATTTCTGCCTTTAGGAAATGTTTAAATCAAGGCCAGGATCAGCACTGTCACAAGCCATCCAAGGATCAGCATTTGGAAACTGCTGCACTTAGCAGCAAATTTACAAATTTACTTTATCAAGCAAAAAATAAGTAATATACTTTTGAGATAATTTATAGAGGAATAACACAGAAAGGTTCACATTCCAGCCCACCAACACAAGGACAAGCCCATGCCTCTGTCACTCCCAATATTATCTCAGGCATGGAAACCATGCCAAAAGACAGCTTTCTCCTTCATGGCCTCACACTTGACATGATGGTCTAGAATGTAAAGTATTTTCTAGCTCTATCCTGGAGGCTGGAGAAAGCTGCCTTCAGTAGTGGGGCTCACCTGGAAGAACCTCATATCCCAAGCCTTCCACAGCCATCCTCACTGAATCTCTCTTGCCAGCATCATAGCCATAGCTAAATATTTCTACCATTTCTCAGATGGTGGCTCCAAGCTTGTATCTATGTTTGTGCTTTTGTCTAGTAACTTCATTAGATTCCAAGCCCATCAAGGGAAGCTACCCATCAGACTCTGTACCTAGCTGATGCCCAGATAATATCTGTAACCTAAGGAATTAGAGAAAGTGTTCTTTCGCTCTAGATGCTTTCTAGAAAGCAATGCCACTGTTACTGCTTAAGACTGATAGAGTAAATAAAGGTCTCCATACCTTTCTCAGTGTGTGCTAGAGGACTTTCAGTGACTACTTATGAAGGGTTTTAGTCTGCATCCCAAAGTGTGTACATGAACAGACTTAAAAACTGTATATTAAATATAAAAAAGACTTCTCAAGAAAATAGTTATGAATACCGATGATAATGAACATGGGACAGGATAGTATACTGATTGCTAGGAAATACAGCTTATTAGAATAGACACAAGTCTAGCTTAAAGATGTGTCTACCCTTATATATGCAGTGATGGAAAGACATCCCTAGAGGAGAACTCCTTGGTAAAACTTCAGGGTGATTGAGATAATGGTATCACTGAATTGCTGTTTCTAATGATTTTTACTTTACTTGTAGGCATCAAACCCTGGTCCAATATCATGGAAATTCTGGAAGAAAAAGATGGAGTTGACACAGAGCTGTTGGTTTATGCAATGACCCTAGTAAACAAGGTTGGTTGATATGTGTTCTGGATTGAGTTGTGCCCCCCTTAAAAATAGGGGTTAAAGCCTTAAACCCTATGAAGAGTATCCTTGCAGATGTAACTCACCCATTAGGACAACTCTAATCAAATATGACTGATGGCCTTATAGGAGGAAGGGGTGGGGAAGAAAGTATGAACACATACAGGGAAGACAGCCATATGAAGACAGAGGCAGAGATTAGAATGGTATATCTGTAACCAAGGAGCACCAAAGTTGGCTAACAACCAACCTAGAAATAGTCAAGGAAGGACCATTTCATGGAGCTGTTAGATAGAACATAGCCCTGCTGATACCTTAGTGTCAGACCATGAAGTTCTGATGTGTTAAGACACCTAGCTCATGGTAGCTAGTCACAGCAGCTGTAGGAAACTGATACCATGTGAAAATGTAAAACTTTCCTTGTGAGCTACAGGTGGTGATTGGAAGGCAATGCAAGAAGGGTAAGAAGGCGTTTCATACCAAGTCCTACCCTTAATGACATTTCCCCATTAGAATTAGCAACTTGACTTGGAAGAAGTGATTCACAGGTCAGGGAAACAGACTTCTTATTTATTGAATTCTAATTCTTACACGGAGGTAAGGAAGGATCCTGGAGGCAGATCCCATCTTCTTTATGTTGTCATGACCTCATCTTTGTGCTCTTATAACTTCCATCATATCCCTTTCTGGTCATCATTTTGTAGGACAGTTGCAGTCCTTTGAGGACATCCTCAGAAGTACTACTTGGGGAGAGGTATTCCAACAAGCTATTCCAACAAGCTGTCTTGGTGTTAAGGTCCCTTCATTCAGATTGTCCTACCATATATCTCAAGCATCATTAGCACCACCCTGAAGATTTTCCTAAAAGTAAAAAAAAGATTTTCCTTAGACTGTTGACCATGAGTCTATAGAATCAACTACAGTGATGAGGAGTAAGGCTTTGGAAGGTCCCAGAATCCTTTGTTGGGATGTAACTAGAGACCTTCTTCTATTGAACAGAAGACATATTTATAGTGAGCAATTTATGTGGGTGCTGGGAATTGAACCCAGTTTCTCTAGAAGAGTAGCCAGTGATCTTAACTGTATGACATCTCTCCAACCCCTGTATTTACTTACTAATGAAGTATTTGCTGGTGGGTGCTGAGCTAGCTCTTACATGGTTATGACAGGAGACAGCCACATTTTGAATAATAATCATAAGGTCTCTTTTATTTTCAAGTCTGTTCCTCACTTTACTTTGCCTTGTCATTTGAAGTTTGGTTTTTGAAGATGAAACTTACCTTGTTCCTGTCCTTTACAGTCACTGACCTGCTCTGTAGATCTCTGAATTCAGCAAAAATAAAGATTCCCTCTTGCCCAGTGTTCTATGCTGTAACTTTATATTTTTCATTGGCTGAGACTGTGGTCACTTTCCTTACTGTGGCATCAGCATGTGGGCACGCTGTTGTCAATCACTGACAACACTCACCCTCTGATGGACATGGTGTGGCACAAACTAGAGACTCTCGCTTGCTGTCTACCCAAAAAGAGTTCTCTCCTTAAAGGGATACAAGTTTATTCTAGAGCCAAATTTGAGTGATTCTGTTCCCAGAACAGAGACATAGGTTAATTCAAATTCCATATTCTAAGGTGGAAGCAGCTTCATGAAGTTTTATAGTTTTCAAAACAATAAAGTCACTAATCAAAACAAGTTTAAAATACATTGTTAGGCACATCAGAAAGGTGGTTACAGCAATATGGGGGAAGGTGTTCTATAGGCTTCAGATGCTAGCTGATGACATTCTTAGCTTTTGAATTGGTGAAAGTTAGGGGTTTGTTAATAGATTCCAAAGGGGTTTTGCCTATTAGTCAGCTGTTGTCTGTCAGCTTATTAGTTCTGAGACTGAGATGGGCAAGGAATGACTATTTGGGGGACTAAAGCTAGCCAAGGTAAGATAATGAGTCTCTGGACCTGCAGCATCTCAAGATCTCCACTTCACAGCAGTAGTAGTAAGTCTATCAGTCTAGGCAGGCTCAGCTTTCCCTTAGGAATTCTTGTTGACATGCCTTATCTGTGCCTACCCTGATAGATTTTACTGTCAACTTGACATAAGATGAGTCACCTAGAAAGAGAAAAACTCAAATGAAGAATTTCCTTGACCAGATTGGCCTATGGCCATGTCTGTAAAGGAACTGTCTCTACTGATGATCGATGTGGGAGGGCCCAGCCCTCTGTGGGCAGCACCATCCCTAGGTGGACTTAGGCTATGGATCCAAGAAAGGCAAACATGAGTCAGAGAACAGGCTAGCAAGCAGAATTCCTGCCTGGGTTCCTGTGCCAAATCCCCTCAGTGATGGACTGTGACCTGGAAGGGTGAAACAAATGGACCCCTTCCATACCTAAGTTGTTTTTGGTCAGTGTTTTGTCAAAGCAACAGAAAAGCCAGCTAGGACAATGCCTGTTTTTTACACATGGAGAAGGCCCCAGGAGAGGCCATTCCAGACAACAACTCCTGAGAAAGCCCACAGACTACTGCCACTCAGAGGTCATTCTCCTTTATTGAATTGCAGTTATATTTATGGCCCCAAGGAGTCAAATGCACCAAGCTACCAAACAGAGTAGCAAACTGAAATGTTAATGTAAGTCTGGGAAAAACAAAAATACAAAACACCAGATTCTAAAGTCTGGGAAATTACGTTGCAAGTTGGGTGGTTTCTAACCAGAATCAATTTCAACAAAATAAATGTTGGTATAATAACATGAATTTTAAAACTGACATTTTCATGATAAAACAAAGGCAGTAAACCATAGCCTGCCTTGTGTTCTGAGACCAGAGTGGCTTTTGTTGTTGTTGTTGTTTACCAGAGACATCAAGAAACCCCTCTGCCTTTCCACATCCCTACCCAGGGATGTCTTGAAAAGAACTGAGGGAAGCAGATGTCAAAATGAGACCATAACCTTCTCTGCCATAGCTGAAATCCTCCTGGGTCTCTACCCTTGCTTGGAATGGGGTCTCATGTACTAGTCACCACACACAAGATAGGTAGATGAGAGGGTGGCTAACAGTGGGACTCCAGGGAGCTCTGGGAAGAGCCATTGTTTCATTAGGGCCTGGGGATAGTTAATCATGTGGGATTCGGGCTAAGTAGATAACTTTTTTAAACATTTAATTTTATTGCTTTATAATTTGAAATGGACCTTTCCCTTCTGGTATGTAGCTGTATGAGTTTTAACACACATACAGAAGTGGTTTGATCGCACAGCTAGGATACATAAAAGTTCCATCTCCCTTGAAAATCTCACCTGTATTCTTTTATAGACATTTAAACCCCCTTGGCAACCACTGATTTTTTGTATGATAGTATAATCTTGTCTTTGGAGTCAAATGGAATCTTGTAGTATGTAACCCTTAGAGGGTGGCCTCCTTCCCATTGTATAAAACACACTCAGGTGTTTTACTGTGTATGCTAATGACTCACTACCTTTGGGGGTATATATGATTGTGCTGCACAGGTACACCCCAATATATTCACCCATGTGTCTTTTAAGGG